CATTTTAACATTGTATGTGTTGTACAGTACAGTAGACTAAAGTTGTTAATTTCGTAGCACAGGTTCAGATAAAACAGTAGTAAAGTGCTAATTACAATAATCACCATAAAACACAAAATAAAAATTATGTATAATTTTAATAATATTTGTTATTAAAATATTTTAAAAATAAAAAATACAATAATTAAAATTCAAGTTAATATATCTGGGAAATGAATATGAGATGATTCTGCAAAAAATGTTTTTAATATTTAATCTTAATGTAAAGAAATATTGAAAGTCAAAATTGACAGTTATAATAATTATAGGTAAATATCATTTATTTCGACTAATTTATTACAAATTCTATGATTTAAGTGAATGTACTTTATGCACTTGTTTTCTATGCTTAACAATATTGGCTGAATTAGTGGATCGGTACGTACAGCCCGGCCAATGACATTCATATGGCTTAACATTGTTGTGAATATTCTGGTGATCTTTTAGATAACCCAAAACTCTAAACCGTTTACCACAGTCTGGCCACTCACACGCGAACGGCTTCTCTCCCGTATGCAGTCGTTTATGTCTGTTAATATCATAGCCTTCATACTCACACCCCGGCCAATCACACCGGTGTTTATATTGACGTTTAATAAGCGGTTTCCGATTATGAGCTACCGTTTGATGTTTGCGGAGCTGAACCTCTGTTAAAAACTTTTGTCCGCAGTTTTCGTAATGGCATTCACGTGAATGTATGTTTGTATGAGTGGTTGAATGTCTCTTCAATTCTTGAGTTGAGCCAAACCTACGCTCACATCCATTGAAACTACACTTATATTTATAGAACTCCGGTCTATGGCGGCGGGAGTGGGCGTTCAGATTGTTTTGAGATTTAAATGTTTTGCCGCACCCGTCGTATTCGCACCGGTAGGCCCTCACCGATGAGTGCATTGCATTGATATGTGCGGTCAACTGTGGTTTCCTCAAACATTTGAAGTGACAGCCGTTATAATCGCAGACAAATCTATAACCCTTGAAATGTATGTCCAAATGCATTGTTAATTGAGATTTCAGTTTAAATCCCTTCTTATTATAACAGTCGAGAAATTGACAGAAATATGACATCTCTTTGTGCACATCCCATACGTGATGGGACAGGGATTCACGATTGCTAAACACTGATGGTGTCATACAGTGCTCTTTCGGACATTTATATGATTTAGTCTTCGCGTCGAAACACTTCTCGAAATCAATTCCTTTGAATCGTCTTTTGCCGATACAATGACTTCTCTTAATGTGATTTATGGCTGAAATATGATTATAGAAACACTTATTGCAACCACTTTTGGGACACTTGTATTCATTGGTCCGAGGGTCGAAGCCATAACTGACTTTTTGTATTAAACTCTTCATATCTTCCTCATCGGTCTTAACATTGTTATCAACACTTTCTCTGTAATCCGTATCTCTTTGACCGCATTCTTCCACTTCTCTAACATTCGATTGTCTTCGAGGAACACATCTCTTCTCAATTGGTTCGCTCGACTCGTAAGTAATGGTGTCATCGATGGTGTCCTCACACTCAGCATCACTTGTCTTCAGATTGTCCTCCAATTGTCTGTCGTGTGTGTCATATGTCTTACCATTTCTTTCACTCAACTCTTGAGTCAATTCATTGAACTCTTGTTTGTCTTCAGATGTGATAATAGTTTCATATTTTGAGTGAATTTTAATTAAATGTCTTTTCAATTGGTTTGCAAACAATAACTCATTCAATAGTCTCTTGTTTTCAAGCATTAATTCATTCATAATATCATTAATACTAATCACTACTGAATTGCAATCACTTCTCATTGAATGCATAATTAATTGTCAATTAATTTTAACAAAAATGTTTAAATTAAATAAAAACTAAATGAATTGTCCAGGGCACAAATATTCAAGTATAAACACTGCTGTGTTAAACAGGGGTTGTGTTATAATAAAATTAAACTCATTATCATAACAAGAATTTATCGTTTATTAAAAGTACAGTAATTGAAATTAAAGCAAATTAATACATTATTGTGATTTAATTGAATTTTTCTTTATGTACTTGTTTTCTATGCTTAACAATATTGGCTGAATTAGTGGCCCGATATGTACAACCCGGCCAATGACACTCATACGGCTTAACATTGTTGTGAACATTTTGGTGATCTTTTAATTGGAGATTTTTTCTAAACCGTTTGCCACAGTCTGGCCACTCGCACGCGTATGGCTTGTCACCCGTATGCAGTCGTTTATGTCCTTTCATGTCCCCTCCCCTCCCCTCCCACTCACATCCCGGCCAATCGCACCGGCGTCTGATTATACGTCTAACACAAGGTTTCCGATTATGTGCTGCCGTATGATGTTTGTAGAGATAATACACTGAGGAAAACATTTGTCCGCAGTTAGTGTAATCGCATTTCACTGATGGAGTGGTCGAGTGAGTGACTGAATGTGCCGTAAGTTCTCTCGAAGTGGGATACCTTCGCTCACACCCGTCGGCACTGCAATGAAATATGTAATTCTGTGGGCTATGGCGCTGGCAATGGATCTTAAGAGTTGAATTTGTTTTGAATGCTTTGTCGCATCCGTCGTATTCGCACCGGTAGGGCCTAATCGTGGAGTGCTTTTCACTCAAATGCTTTTTCAATGACCAATTGTTAAAACACGTGAATTCACAGCCACTATAATGGCACGCAATCGGTCTCGTCGTATGTCTGACCCTATGTTTCATGAGATTACGTTTTGTATGGAATCCCTTCTGATTATAACAATTTGGATAATCACAGAAATATGACATCTCGTTGTGGACATCATATAAGTGCCTTTCCAATTGGCGTCGGGATGTCATACTCGCCATACACTGGTCTTTCGTGCATTTATACGGTTTAGGCTGAGGGTTGATACACATCTCAGACTCTATTACTCTGACATTACTTGTATTCATAATATTAATTACAATTTGATTAGCATTTGACGGTACGGGAGATGTCTTAGAATGGCTTTTAGTGATGTGATTGAAAGCAGACATATAATCAGTGAAAAACAGATTGCAATCACTTTTGGGACACTTGTATTGACTGGTGTTCCCGTGAAATCCATTCTCATTGAGTCGTTGTATTAAAGCCTTTATCTCTTCGTCATAAAAGTCGTATCCATTACTCCCACTCACAGTATGTCTATGACTGCAGTCATCCACATCTGTATCAGTTAATTGTCTTCTTCTCACATCCGGTCCATCACTTAATTCGCTCGACTCGTGAGTAATAGTGTCATCGATGGTGTCCTCACGCGTGGAATCAGTTGTCTCGAGTTTGTCATCCAAATGGGGTTTATGTCGTTTACTTGTGTTGTGAATATTCTGATGCGTCTTCAATGAGATCCTCTCCCTGAACCGTTTACCACAGTCTGTCCACTCGCACACGTATGGCCGCACAATATCCGTATGAATTAATTTGTGTTTTGCAATATCATTGCCCAACCACTCACACCCCGGCCAATCGCACCGGTGTTTGTTTTTATATTTAATTAAAGGTTTCCTATTATGAGCTGAAAGTTGGTGTTTATAGAGACGATACTCTGTTGTGAAGAGTTGTCCGCAACCTTTGGATTTGCATTTATGGGAGGGTTTGGTTGAGTGAGTCATTGAGTGTCTCTTCAGACCCAGAGATGTGATGAACTTTCGCAGACAACCCGGGAATCGACACTTGAAACGGTCATAGTTTTTAAGGTCATGGATCTGGGAATGGCAGCTAAGCTGCGACCGTGTTTTGAATGACTTCCCGCACCCGTCGTGTCCGCAACCATAGGTCTTAACGGACGAGTGATTTGTGTTGAAATGTGCGGTCAGTTCAGGGTTTGTATGACACGCAAAGTCACAGCCATTATAACCACATTCAATGGACTCATGAATATTGCTGTCATCGATGGTGTCCTCACACTCGGCAGCACTTGTCTTCAGATTGTCCTCCAATTGTCTGTCGTGTGTGTCATATGTCTTACCATTCCTTTCACTCAACTCTTGTGTCAATTCATTGAACTCTTGTTTGTCTTCAGAGTGTCCTCACACTCGGCATCACTTGTCTTCAGATTGTCCTCCAATTGTCTGTCGTGTGTGTCATATGTCTTACCATTCCTTTCACTCAACTCTTGAGTCAATTCATTGAACTCTTGTTTGTCTTCAGATGTGATAATAGTTTCATATTTTGAGTGAATTTTAATTAAATGTCTTTTCAATTGGTTTGCAAACAATAACTCATTCAATAGTCTCTTGTTTTCGAGCATTAATTCATCCAAAATATCATTAATACTAATCACTACTGAATTGCAATCACTTCTCATTGATTTCATAATTAATTATCAAATCATTTAAACAAAATGATTTAAAATTAAATAAAAAATAAATGATTGTCCAGGACACAAATATTCATTTGGCACAACATTCAAGTATAAACACTGTTGTGTTAAACAGGGGTTGTGTTATAATAAATATAACTCTTTAACAAGAATTTATCGTTTATTAAAAGTACAATTTATTAAACAAATTAATAATTTATTGTGATTTAATTGAAGTACAGTACAGTACATAACTGAATGTTATTCCACATATGAAAATACAAGTACTTTATAATAAAAATAAACATTTTATTTGATTGTTATAATAATTATGATCACGGTATAATTATGAAGTATTTATATTATACACCCAACCATTCCATTGGTTTTTTCTAAACAAAACATATAATTTAATTTTTAGATTAATTTAAATAAAATTTACTTCTCAGATATGCCAACAGAAAAGCATTTTTATAGAAAAATTACAAATAATTATATTTAATGCAAATATTTAAAACTATTTGTTTGGCATGCATTAAGAGCGCCGGTAGTTTATTCCTTAGCCACGTGTTTGTTCATATGAAGGTTGAGATACTTGGCACGAGTGGTGGCGTAATCACACGCCGGCCATTCGCACCGGTAGTTCTTAATACCTTTATGAGTATGAATATGAGATTCAAGCGATCTCACATTGAAATAGGCTTTCTCACAGCCCGGCCACGAGCACCGGTAGATTGCTTTAGCCGAATGTGCGTCCATATGACCAATGAATGAACTCTTTTGGGTGAACCGTTTGGCACAACCGGGCCATTCGCACTGGTATTGCATTGTCTCATCGTGTGATCTCTGGTGCTCTTTGAGTCGACCACTGTTTGCATAGCCTTTGCCGCACTCATGGCACAGGTATTCCTTCAAATGGTGTTCAATGTGTGCACTCATAGTCTGCTTAAATTTAGTCCTAAACTCACAGCCCGTATGCGAGCAATGAATCCACGGGATGTCCGGAAAAGCGTCGGGATGTAAATTATGCTGATGTCTAGTCATATCCTTTCTAGTTTTAAACCATTTGTCGCACTCATTGAGCGAACACTTGAACAGCCGTTCCGTCGAGTGAATCGATTTGTGTTTATTGAGTATAGATTTTCTACCCGTTTTGAAATCACAACCCTCGCGATCGCACCGGTATGTCGACTCGTGTTTACGGAGCTCATGTTGACGTAGATCTTTAGGTGTGCTGAAAGTGGCCGAACAGCCCTTCTGATCGCACCGACACCGCCCACCGAAAGGGATGAGCCCGTAGTGGATGTACAGGTGCTCTACAAAGTGAACCTTTTTGGAGAATTTCGAGAAAGTCTTGCGGCAGTCCTCGTAATCGCATACAAAGCGGCCATCACTTGACTTATGAACTCTTGAGGCCTTATGTAATAGTAATGCCTTAATATTACTGAACCTTTGGGAACAGTTCTGGTGATCGCATACGTATTCACCATTACTCATGAGTGACTTGTGATTGTCAGCAACCGGTTCTATCGGTTCCGATGATATGTCAGTCTTTGTGTCCACCAAATTGTCGTCAATTTTGGACTTTTTGTCAATCAATTGCTGGCAATCAATGTCTTGGGATTTGTCGCACACTATCTCATCGCGGGAACCGATCACATGTTCATCGGATACCATGTTTTTGGGTTTAATTAAAATGGATTTTATTTTCCGCTTAAGACTTATCCGCAAATCTGTAACCAATGATTGGCCACCATTTGCATCACTCGTCTCGGGTTTATTGTCATCATTTGCATCAACACTGTGTCCGCCGATTGTCTCATCTATTTGTTTGTCATCGCATTCACTCAACCCATGGCTCGTGTGATCACCACTTCTTCGACCAATTTGTGGCAAAACTTGCGATAAGTATTTGAAACCCTTTTGACAATCGTTTGATTGATTGCCACAAACGACAGACTCGTTGCTGGCATTCAATGCAAACAAATCCAACAACTCTTGAGTGAAATGTCTATTAATTTCCCTAATATTCAGTAATTGTGTTAAATATTTGTGACATTTGTTTAACAATAAGTCATTTCGCGATAAATCTGTTGACAAACAATTGATTTCACGTTTCAATGCATTCACTAATGAATACAACTCTTCGCGACTTAAATGAGACAACGATTCATACGATTCACTCATTTCTCGACCGATTTTATCGCACTTTTAATTCACTATTAAATACATAAATGAATGTAAAATCAAAACAAAACGACAACTCATTTGAAAAAAGTTTACTTTTGTTTTCAATAGAAATAACGTTCAGAAAAACATATTCACGCAAAATGTAAACAAATGTTTTTTCGGACTAATATTTTTACGCCGATTTGAATTGAATTGAAGATCAGATTAGTTGTGAAAATGTGTGAAATACTGATCAATGATTTGGTGGAAGAGTTGAGTGAAGAAAATAAGAGACTTTTAAATGAGTTATCATTTGAGAGACAATTGAATGAAATGTTAGAAAATTTCCGAAAATATTCATTGGATTTGAAAACCAATTGTTTTTGTGATCAAAATAAACAGACTTTTGATTTGTTGGATCAGTTGGACACCCGTTACAAGACATTCACTCGAAGTATAGAAATACCGAAACCATTGGATCAGATAATACATCGGAAGACACGTAAACAAAAGGCCATCACTTGTGAGGAATTAAATGAATCAGAAGTGGTGTCAAAGAGTGTGAAAAGTAATAAACGATTGAGTACTTCTTCACTGAAGAGGAATAAGAAGAGAAAAATCTATTCAAACGAAACCCAACTGAAGAGGAAATACACGAAAAGGGATTTCAATGCAAAGGCCTTTCGGACCAACTCTTCGGACAAACCATACAAGTGTTCAGTGAATGGATGTGACTATAGCTGCAGAAGTATTGATGGTCTTGAGGCGCATATGAATAAACACAATGACTTAAGACCCTATTTCTGTACTCATGAGTCGTGTGGTAAACGATATCTATCTAAAGACACTCTCATGAAACACATCCATAACAATCACTCGACTATTAATAGAGACAGTAATCCATATAAATGTGATTTCATTGGCTGCGGAAAACTATTCAAAAGATTATGTGGTTTTCGGAAACACCGGCGCATCCATTCTGTCGTCAAACCATTCAAGTGTCCCATCAATGGCTGCGATTACTCGAGTCTATATAGGCCTCAATTGGACAGTCATGTGAACAGACATAACGGCGTTAAGCCCTATGTCTGTACTCTCGAGTCGTGTGACCGACGATTCATATCTAACGAGACACTCGCGGCTCACATCCGTGTCATTCACTCCAATGCAAGATCTAATCCCATTAAGACATTTGTATGCGCTTACAAGGACTGCAATAAAGCGTTCCAAACTAAACACAATTTAAAGGTACACCAAGCCTCCCATTCAGACGACAAACCGTTTGTATGTCGGGAACCGGGATGTGGTCTGAGCTATAAAACACATGCGGCGTTAGATTATCACAATTTTAAACACGCGGGTCGGGAGTATGCATGTGAATGGCCCGGATGCGAATACACATCCAGTAACCCACACCACGTGACAAAACATATCAAACTGAGTCACAACACTGACTACCGGCTCTCGTGCGAGTGGCCCGGGTGTGAGTACCGCACCAATTATACAACGAGTCTTCAGTTGCATTCACACAAACACACCACTGATAGGCAATACCCGTGCGATTGGCCTGAATGTGGCAAACGGTTTAAGACAGAGAAGGTTTTGACGCAACATATGATTACACACTCGGGTCCACCCATTCCCTGCCAGTGGAAGGGCTGTCAGTTTACGACTAAACATAAATTAGCGCTTAAAGAGCATATGAAACGAATCCATAGAGTAATGGATTAATTGGTTTCAATGAATAACTTTTATTGTTATTTATTTAATGATTTATTGATCACAATTGAATTATAATTATAATTTATATTCTAATATACTGAACAATATTTTTATAACTATAAATGCACCCAAACCTGAGGCTAAGAATACATCGAAGTACTCACAGCACGGATAGGCCGCACGCATGCGATTGGCCTGAATGTGGGAAACGGTTTAAGGATAAGACAACTCTGAGACGACACGTGTTCACACATTCGGGCCCTAAATTCACGTGCGATCGGAAGGGCTGTCAGTTTAAGACTTCTCTCAAACATGTGTTGAGTTATCATAAGAGANGACAACTCTGAGACGACACGTGTTCACACATTCGGGCCCTAAATTCACGTGCGATCGGAAGGGCTGTCAGTTTAAGACTTCTCTCAAACATGTGTTGAGTTATCATAAGAGACGCAAACATGAGAGCTATTCATGAGTTGTTAATTGGCTTTAAATGATTAATAATTGAATTAAAAACTAGAAATGATTTATAGAAAAGTGTTTTTAATTAATAAAATAATTTAATTAATGATTTAAAGTTTCTTTTTTCAAATTTAATCACTTTTTATGACATAATTTGTGTTAAAATATGTGTCCAATCTTTGCATTTGTTGAATGCAGTGTATATTGAAATAATTAAAAGTAAATTTATTAATTACAAAATCTTTAATCAACTCATTAAAACATTACAGAGATTATTTTATGAAATATTTATTCTGTACATCATTTATCAATAAAAAAATAAAAAAATAAAAGCAAAAAAGTGTGGCAAGGGTGGGATTCGAACCCACGCCTCCGAAGAGACTGGTGCCTTAAACCAGCGCCTTAGACCGCTCGGCCACCTTACCAGTGTATGTGACTAAGTGCTGCGTGTTGTATTAGTTTGTGAGCCGGCTCATTTATTACAGTAACTATGCTTTTGAGATAAAAATACCCTACTTAACAGCAGTTATTAGATTAGCAGCTATTTCTCAATACACTCGCTTAACATTGCCCTTCAATAACGTTATCATAAAAAAGTTTTTTATTATAATTATAGGATTTATTTTAAGTCATTCATTAGTTTTAATAGAGATATTCATTGCATTTATTTTGCAAGCAATCAATAAATGCTTAATAGCTCTCTCTCTCTCTCTCTCTCTCTCTCTCTCTCTCGCCATTCATTAGACTAAAAAGCAAAAGCAGAATATATTCTGCGAAAAACAACACAAAATTTAAAGTCAATATAAATGATAGCGAAGAATATTCTCTTTTAATGACTAATAAGAGAATATTCTCATAGAAATTAAAGTCACGCGAAGGCATAGAAACCGAAATCAAATGAAGCGAATAAAACATCACACGATATATACAGTAATAATGAAGAAAAGATATGTTTCAAGACTATAGCGAACTTGACATTCAAAACACAGTAAAATATTTTTGAAATAATAGACTCAGAGGTAGTTTGTGAGGGAAAAAGAAAAAGCATACGTTTTCCAAGAATTTGAATATAGACTACCATAATTATATCTGCTTGTTGTTTACACCCGTTGGCAGTTTCTATACGGTATACCCTACCTGTGCTCCTACCCTCACCCTATGCACTGATGATCAGTGAGAATGTGTTATGAATTTTGCGATAGCACTGAGACTTTGGTGCTATTTTGTAGAGTTGTACCAAACTTTTAGAAGATTGAAAGCAATGCAACGAATGATACATAAAGTGAAAGAGTTCTCACAGAACCGGAAGCCCGAGTTTGTACTCATCTCAGGGGTAGGGCTCGTAGTTACCGGTGCTTTCCTGGCCGTTGTGTTCCCTATGCTGTTAGGCGTCGGTCAGTAAATAAGTTTATTTTTGTATTAAATTATTATCTTAATTGTTTTTTAAATATTGTGCTTTTGTTTGTGTTTTGTGTGTATTTTAATCAAATAACTTTAGGACTGGACATGAACTTCAAGCTAACGGAAGGGAAGTTTATTTTCAAGAACTGGTAATAGTATTGAATTAATTATTTTATTTATTTTATTATTGTGTGTAACCATTGGTTTCATTTAACATAATATTCTGTGCCATTAGTTTTATTATAGAAATATATACAATAAATAAATTGCAATTTGTTTTTACGTTTCAAACAGCTTTTTTATGCGGAATTAACTGGTTCACTTTAGTTAGAAATCAGTTATTTTTGTTTTTTATTTGCTTTTATTTGTAATCCTGAATAAATTACTAAATTAAATATTTTTTATATAAAGGCAAGAACTACCGATTCCTTTGTTAACAAAAGTCTATTTGTTTGACATTCAAAATCCGAATGAGTTCTCTGAAGGTGCCGTTCCTGTGGTCAGGGAGATGGGC